AGAAGTCGAGAGATTATTAAATTTAGAAAACCTTCAAAGTTTTGCAGCGACGCAAAGCATTAATGTTGTTGACAATAAATCTTCTAATCAACTCTAGCTTTAAGGAATGTGTGGTGTTTATTATTAAATATATAAAGAACTCAATTACAAGTATTAAATAAACAAGGCCCCAAAAAAGGGAAATCTTAGTGAGGCTTGGTGGGACTACGACTAATAAATAAAATTAGATTGCAGAATTTTTGCATCACCGCTCTCTGTACCGTTCTTACTGGATTCAATATAAATTTTGTTTTGCATACACATGCATTTTTACATTTATTGAATAAATAGGGCTTTTAAGAAGACGTTACTAGTGAACGAGAAGTTTGGTAAATTAACTGGGAACAAATATAAAGGGTAAACAATTGTGAACTACCAATCTTTAAGTATAAGATGCAAAGTTGCAAATATTTAATTTTAATTTTTTGTGGATAGCCCTATAATCTGGATATCCTATTAATTCTTATTCTCATGAAATTACAAGCATGTTTGAGGGGAGCCATTTATTCCAAATGATTACTTAATGCTTCCAGTAAAGAACGGTACAGAGAGCGGTGATGCAAAGATTCTACAATCTAATTGTATTTATTAGTTGTAGTCCCACCAAGCCTCACTAAGATTTCCCTTTTTTGGGGCCTTGTTTATTGAACTTTAGATCGCTTCCTCCAAAAATTGCCAAAAAATGGGGTGCATAATTTCTTTAATCGACCATGACTTTATAGTCCAAAATTCTAAAATAAGTTCCCAGAGCTAAAAAATGATTAAAAATGTGTTGATTTTGACGATTTTGGAGAAGAGTCATCGAGTCCCACACTAATACTATTTTTAAGAGTATTTTTTTCGATTTTTACGACAAATGAAAAAGATTTTCGAGCAGCAAATTGCAAAAAAATTGGCTTGTGGTTTGTCTGTTTCGGGGATATTTTTTATTTACACTCTTAGAAACTTGGTATTGAAAAAAACTTAACGGTATTGATACGTGACTCTACCGCCTTGGTATTAAACAGTTATACCATATTGGTATAGAACCGGTATTGAAATTATACCCCATGGTAATAATTTTAATACTAATTGGTATTAATTTTTTTACCACGTAGTATTAACTCAATACCGGATCAATACCACGCGGTAGAGTCACGTATCAATACCAACGGTTATTGATTTTTTTAAGAGTGTAGATATTTGTACTTACTTGTTTATAGTTTGGTTTGATGTTTGTATTTTTGTGTATTTTTGTGTGTCTGTTCATCTTTAGGGGTATACTCTGCTACGAAAATACCAACTTGCTGCTGTAGCAGGTATACCCCCACAGGCACACTTCTACTATATATTCTGTAAAGAAACAACAAATATTAGTTAGTCACCAGTTCGAATCCCAGCAGCATTCCCAAAAACCCACAATCCCCGACGCAGACCACTCGACCAACAAGCCATAGTTTAAAAGACAGAGTTTAACTTGTATTTATGTTAGATATGTATCTCCATGAGTAGAAGATGCAAAAAATATAATAACGAGAAATATAATTTGGTTTTAAATTACGCAAAAACGCAAAAACATTTTTTCTGAAGGCTTCTTAACCTTGACATCTCGTTTAGAAACGGTCAAAATCTGGAGTACACATTTTTAGAAATTGACAACCATCTGCTCTACTAATTTTGTCGTTCAGAATTTTAAAATAAAATCCTAGAGGAGATAAATGAATTAAAAATGTGCTGCTTGATATAACGATTTTGGTGATTTCATTAAGTACTGTTAAAAAATGAGAGATTTTCTGAGAATTTTGACAACCCCATGTTTACAGGGTTGCTCCAAAAAACGGCGTAATCATGATCTGTATGTATTTAATTAATCGCTTAAATAATTTTGTAATTAAGATTGAACGGCATTTTAAAGTTTGAGTTAGGGAACAGTCTGGGCATCCTAGTGAGCGAGTTGACTTTTTTTCCTCGCCACTTACCAGTAATGTAAATGATTTTTGTCACTAAAACTTCTAATTTGCAGCTAATACAAAATGGATTGATTTCGTTTTGGTGGCAATAAATTCCTAAGTTTGTGCTTTACAATTGCCATGTTGCATAAATTCCATAATAAATCTCGGTGAAAAGTATTGGACTGAAACATGATATGAGTCCATGTTTCAGTTCAATACTTTTCTCTGAGATTTATTATGGAATTTATGCAACATGGCAATTGTAAAGCACAAACTTGGGAATTTATTGCCACCAAAACGAAATCAATCCATTTTGTATTAGCTGCAAATTAGAAGTTTTAGTCGAAATTTTTCTCCTTTTCTGGTTCGCGATGCCCCGTTTGGAGAGTGGGAACGGTCACTCTCAAAGCCCAAAGCAACTTTTTACATGCAACTGCCTGCATTGTTTACATGAAAATCAGCTGCTCTCTTCGCCCCGCCCCCCCTCATTAGCAATAAATCTCTCGGCACACAAGGAGACGCAACCGTCGTCTCTGTCTTTTAGTTATGAGATTTTTTCAACGTATATGCATTCTTAATGGGGAAATTTTAAAATTAATTAATTGCAACCATCCTTGAAACATAACTTCTAATAATAAAAATTGCAGAATATGGACACAATTCACGCGAATATTTGTAATCGAGTAGGAAGTAAGCTTGATGGAATTTGAACAAAAAGAAATTTCGATGCAATTGATGAGGATAATCTGTTATAAGTTATGTAGTCTCAAAATTCAATAAATTTTAGTAAAACGGCGGTGAAAGGCAGCAACTTTTCATTAAATTCACGCCAGTTTGGTAAATTTATTGCAGGATAATTTTGGCAATGAATTAATTCACGTGAATATTTTTAACCGAGTAAACTTAATCAAATTATGCTACAACTTGTACAGAAATTGATTTTTGCGGAATTAAAAAACCTTGATAACAGCAATTTGTCCCACAATTTAATAAATTTTAGTAAAACGGCGGTTAAACGTGGCTATTTTTCATGAAATTCATTCATGCCAGCTTGGTTCATGCAACTGCAGAATAATTCAGACGATTAATTCAAGTGGATATTTTTAACCGAGTAAACTTAGCAAAATTTGTTAATTTGAACAGAAAGTAAGTTTTGAAAAAGTTAATTCAGGTATTTAAAGTATTTTGTAATGAATTACTTATTAAATGTAGCAATTGCTCATGTCACGATTTAAACAAAATTTGTAAAATGTTCACGCAATTTTTACGTCGTGCATATTTTTAACCCAGACCCAGACCCAGTAAAATACTTAGAAATGCAAGGTTTTGTATCTTACTAAATATGAGACATACAAAGTCGAAAAATTATATTATACGAGGCATAGATTTTTTCCAGGGTGGACACTTTTTGACATGAACATCATACCTTTAAATAGTCCTAATTTAAATAGGGTGACCATAATTGTTCTTACTAAACCGGGACATTTTAGACAAAAAAATTTGCCAATAATATCTAGTGCTTGGCGAAAAATTTGCCTATAATATCTACTGCTTGGCGAAAAATTTGCAGAAAAGTGAATTAAGCAGATCTTACCAGCACGGTACTGGTATTTATGTGCTAAAATCTACTTTTTTATACAATATTTTGCCAAAAATTGTGAGATAATTTAATTGTTGCCCTAGATTTTAAAAACGGGACACTTTATCAAAACCGGAATATCTTCGGGACGATGGGACAGGTTTTGAAAACCAGGGCATGTCCCGGTTAAACCGGGAGGTCTGGTCACCCTAAATTTAAACACCCTTAATTTGTTTGCTGGTAACCACGTGGATAATATATTTTGAATTTTTCTAGTTAAAACAACTTGAGAGGCGGGAAAAATTTCGCCACTGTCTTGTGTTCTTATTGGCACAAGGTATCACTGTAATTAAATTCGCAAAAATCCACAACGGCGCTCTATGCAAAAATTGGCTCTTAATTTGTTAGCTGGTAACCACGTGGATGATATATTTTGAATTTTTCTAGTAAAAACAACTTGAGAGGCGGGAAAAATGTCGCCACTCTTTTGTGTTCTTATCAGTACAACGTGTCACTGTAATTAAATTCGCAAAAATCCACAACGGCGCTCTACGCAAAAATTGGCACTTAATTTGATTGCCGGTAACCACGTGGATGATATATTTTGAATTTTTCTAGTAAAAACAACTTGAGAGGCGGGAAAAAATTCGCCCCTGTTTTGTGTTCTTATTGGTACAAGGTATCACTGTAATTAAATTCGCAAAAATCCACAACGGCGCTCTATGCAAAATTGGCCCTTAATTTGTTAGCTGGTAACCACCTTGTTTGAATTCATAGTCTTATTTTTCCCCAAGAATTTAAATTGAGCGCTGGTGGTATCAGCATTTTTTCCAGATCTTTCTTTTGTCAGTGAGTAGGTAAACGTATGTATGCGAGAGAGCATCAAGAAAGAGTAAAGGTTTTGTCTATATTTAATTAAATTGAAATAATTAAATAAATTGATTTGTTATTGCTCGATATGAGTAAAATTAAAGTTTGAGTTTTTATACAAATTTTCATTTACACCACAGTAGTAGTATTTTTAAGCAACGACCCAATCTTTTTAAGAAGTAGAACCTTTCAAGCTGGTAGTTCGTTTGGTTTTACAACATTTGGTGACCTCGACGTGATTGAGGTCGTTGTTAAAGTGCAGTGAAGTTATCTGTGAGTGTAAAGTGAAAGAGTGCATCCATCATCCCCTCGAGGAAGCAAAGGACGAGTGGGAGGATTGCAGTTTTTAAGCAAGAAGGACAAGAGTGGACCGCCCCGTCATTACCACCGAGGACTGATTTCAGAGGTCGAGTGGGAGGAGCAACCCGTGTGGATCTTGCATCAATAATAAAATTGAATTTACGGTTTGCTACGGCCTTGAGCGTAGCCTACCTAGGTGGGGTCGTCGATATTTTGGAGAATTTGAGAGTAGATTAAACTAATTGTTTTTTCTTTGCTGGCTTTATTCGGTTCGAGACAGGATGGATCGTCTAAAGAAGCAGCGCACACCCATTCGAGCCATGATGACTAGGACGGTCAACGAGCTGGATGAGGAAATGACGAAAGAAGATCGAGATAAGGACGTCCTGATTGTGAAGTTGAAGAAGTTGATTGAGCTTACCGACACCGCGGTGGATTTGGATAAGCAAGTATTGGATGCAATTCTGGACAATGAAGAACTTACTGAAGAAGATTATTTAGAAGAATCAAGATCAATTGAAGGATACAATGATAAGTGTAGATTTGTGCGCCACAAAGTTGAAAAATTCCTTGGTCCAGAACGATCATCAAGCCCGACAAATAGTTCTTACAGCACTGCTAGTGGAGGACTTCTTAAGAAGAATTATAAGCTACCAAAGATCGAGTTAATGAAGTTTGACGGGGAGATCAAAAACTGGCTGGAGTGGTGGGCGCAGTTTAAGAAGATAGATGAAGATGAAGATTTACATGTGACGGACAAGTTCCATTATTTAGTGCAGAGTATGGTCAGCGGGTCAAAGGCCGCTGATCTTATCAGAAGCTATCCGAAGACGGATGCAAATTATCCGAAAGCTATTGGAGCATTGAAGGAAAGGTACGGGAAAGAAGACATCCTTGTTGACCTATATACAAGAGAGCTAGCACAGTTTTTGTTCGAGAAAGAGAAATTATCATTGGAGAAGTTTTATGATCGTCTTCAAACGCAGCTGCAGGCGTTGGAGTCGTTGGGAGTGAAGTCTGAACGAGATACATTGTTTCTTCGCCCCATTATTGAGACCAGTCTACCTAAGGAAATTTTTAATGCCTGGTATCGATCTCCTTTGTACCAGGAAGATGGTGCGAAAGTTAATCCACCAAAGTCAAGACTCGACTATTTAATGCAGTTCCTCAGACAAGAAGTGGAACGAGAAGCAAAACTGAAGATGTTTATTGGAGGTGATTCTTCTGGCAAGTCCAAGAAAGAAAAATATGAGAATCAAGGAAAGAAGAAAGATTCAATCCCAACCGCAGCAGGATTGTTCGTGGCGCAGAGCAGCAATTGCGTGTTTTGCTCCAAATCCAACCATGCAAGTACCGAGTGTTATCGAGCGGATAGGATGAGTTGGTCAGAGAAGAGTGACCTGATAAGAAGCCAGAATTTGTGTTATCGGTGTTTGAAATATGGACATCGTAAATCTGATTGCAAAGTTAAATTAAAATGTTCATCTTGCGGCGAGCCACATGCAAGATCAATGTGTGCAAGACTTCCTTCTAATCAGAGGAACAATACCGGAAGAGAAGAGGTACATAATGAGGTCCCAGCGACAGCAGCAAATGCCAACCATTCTTGCAGCAAGATGTACTGATGAAGACGTTGTTGGTGAAGATGGCTGGTCCTAAAGGAACAAGAATAGTGAGGTTGCTGTTCGACGAGGGAAGCCAGCAGAGCAGCGGTGGTCAGAGGACGATCTCTGCAATCGGTAGTCCTCTCGTGGGAGAAGAATGGACTCGTAATGTTCTGTTTGGTGGGGTTCTGACGGAGCCTAGGAAAATTAAGAAATTTAAAGTGCAAGTTCAAAGCCTTGATGGGAGATTCAAGAGAGACATTATTTTGAGGGAGTCCCCAACTATTTGTGGAGACATTCCAAGAATTCCGGCCGGTCCGTGGATGAATGAGTTGAAGAAGAGGAAGATATTTTTGTCAGATTTTGAGATGAGCCATGTGGACCACCCGGATATCGAGTTATTAATCGGAAGTGATTATTGGGGACAATTTGTGTGTGGCAGACCGTTAATGTTATCGTGTGGTCTTGTCGCAGTGGAGACTGTTTTTGGATGGACCCTGAGTGGACCTGTCCCAGGAAAAGAAGTCAGCATGGGAGTGATGACGATTCATCACTCATTATTCAATGCAGAAGCATGTGTCCAGGATTTATGGAAGCTGGAGACAATTGGAATCACTGATCCTACCGAGCATAAAACCAAGAATGAAAAGGAAGAAGAAGCAAGACAGCATTTTTTGAAGACAGTGTCAAGAACTCAAGATGGAAGATACGCCGTGGCGCTTCCCTGGGTTGATGAAGAAAGGACAATTCCCGACAACAAGGTCGTCGCTGAGAAGAGGTTAATTTCCACTACAACAAAGTTACGAGAGTCAGGAAATTATGAACTTTATGATAAAGTATTTCAAGATTGGGAGAAGGAAGGATTAATTGAAGAAGTAGTTGGAGGCGTGGACAGGCCTTGTCATTACCTGCCCCACCGTCCAGTTTACAAATTAGAGAGCAAGACAACTCCAGTTCGTCCCGTTTATGACGCTTCCTGTAAGAATGGAAGAAACCCGTCACTGAATGATTTGTTGGAGAAAGGACCGAACTTATTGGAGCTCATACCTGCAATTCTGTTGAGATTTCGCGAAAAGAAAATTGGTGTCATTTCTGACATTAGAAAAGCATTTCAAATGATACAAGTTGCGAAGCCGGATCAAGATTTCCAGCGTTTTCTCTGGTGGGATAATAAAGAAAATCCAAGAATGAAGATTTATCGACATAAGCGAGTCGTTTTGGGGTCAAGTGCAGCCCTTTCTTACTCGGAGCTGTTATCGAGTACCATTTGAGCCAGGTTACTGGAGAAGATAAGGAGTATGCAAATAAGCTCCTGCGTTCTCTTTATGTGGACAATTGTGTCACGTCAGTTGACACGGAAGAAGAATATGAAAAGTTCAAGAGTTTAGCAGTCAAGATGATGTGCGAAGCCAGGATGGAGCTTCGTTAATGGGAACGTTCTTACTCTGGGGCCGCTGGAATCAGTTTCGAGCAGTTTGATAAGGATGAAAATGGTCAAGAGACAACTGTAGTGCTTGGACTGAACTGGGACAAGAAGAAGGATGAGTTATCAGTCTCCGTCCCGAAAGAAGAAAAGATTGAGAATATTAGCAAGAGAGTGATGTTGTCAAAAGTGCAACAATTTTTTGACCCGATGGGGTATTTAAGTCCAACCACCATCATCCCAAAGCTGTTATTGCAAAGGACCTGGACAGAGAAGAATTCAGGGGATAAAGAGTTGGATTCAACAATTAAGAAAGAATTTGAAGATTGGTGGAATCAGGCGCAGCTATTAAAAGAAACGAAAATTCCGAGGTGGGCATTTTGCTCAAGTTATGAAAGCAATCGCCAGTTTCATGTATTTTGTGACGCAAGTCAACATGCGTATGCCGCCGCCGTTTTTGTACGAGTTGAAGATAATGAACAAGTTTCAGTCCAACTGTTACAAGCTAAGGCGAGAGTTGCCCCCATGAAGAAAGTATCAATTAAAGAAGAAGCGAACGATGAAGAAGTTCGTGTCGAGATGAAGAAAGTGGCGAAAGTGTCACTTATTGCGACGTTGCCATCTACGCCCTGGTATGGAGAGATGTCATGTTCTTTTGTGAAGAATGTTCGTGTCATTGCGATGTTGAAGCGTAGTATCCGTCGATTTAAAGGAGAGAAGATATTTGGCGAATTAGAACAGCGAGAAATTGAAGAAGCTGAAGTTTTTATGTTCCACAAAATACAAGAAGAATCTTTCCCCATGAATCAAAATGTGGTGGAAAATTTACAAGTTGTTCGAGGAGAAGACGACTTGCTCAGAATTAAGACCAAGATAACGAACATGCCAGAGAGTGAATCATTTAGAAAACCAGTTTTACTGCCATCAAATCATCCTGTGGTTTGGCAGTTAATTAGATCGGAGCATATTCTAAATATGCATGCAGGATTAAGCATTACGATGAGCAAGTTAAGGGAGCGTTTTTGGGTAATCCATTTACGACAACAAATTAAGAAGGTGATCCGGCAATGTGTGATCTGTCGCCGTTTTACCACTAAGAAATCAGAAGTTCCGTGCCCCCCACTTCCCGAGGATAGAGTGACGACGACCGCGAAGGTGTTTCAAGTGGTGGGGATTGACCTAGCAGGACCGTTCTTCCTGAAAAATGGGTCAAAAGGCTGGATGGTGCTGTATACCTGCGCAGTTTACAGAGCTATACATTTGGAATTAGTGTCATCATTATCAACGGAGGATTTTTTGTTAAGTTTACACCGATTCATCAGTCGAAGAGGAAGACCAGCCATCATCTATTCGGACAATGGCACCAATTTTGAAGGTGCGAATAATGCAATTAAGCTGATGGACTGGAAGAGAATTGAACAGGAGTCCAGAGTGGGTCGAATTAAGTGGAAATTCAGCGCACCCGCAGCGCCGTGGTGGGGCGGATGGTGGGAGCGGTTAATAAGAAGTTGCAAGGATATTATGAAGCGAATGCTGGGACGCAAGAAGCTAAACCTTGCTGAGTTGGAGACGTGTATGTTTGAGGTGGAGGCGGTAGTCAATAGCCGTCCTCTGACCTATATGTCAGAAAAACAAGATGACTTAGTGCCCCCGACGCCTGCGATGTTTCTTCACGACATCACCGAAGCGGATTTCCCTGAAGAGGAATTATTGGATGGTCAAGCACTGAGGAGCAAATATCGAGATCTACGCCAATTGAGACAAGAATTGAAGTCAAGATTTGTTAAAGAGTACCTGTCTCAACTGGTTCAACGAGGAAAAGAGAAGAAATCGCCAGAGTTTCGAGTCGGCGATGTTGTGCTCATCGGTTCAGATAACAAGAGAAGAATCATTTGGCCAATGGCAAGAATTCTGGAACTGATTGTTGGAAGGGACGGTCATGTGAGAGTAGCCAAACTCAAGACGGAGAATGGACTGCTGACTCGACCGTTGCAGAGACTGTTCCCCCTGGAGGTGTCAACTGAAGAGATTCCCACAATTCAAAATAGAGTGAAGATATCAGCGCAAGTGTGGGAGTCAGTCGACGCCAAGAAAGAAGAAAATGTGCGTACAAGATTTGGAAGACAGATTAGGAACCCTGAGAGATTTGGAGTGTAATTTTTATGTGAATATGTGAAATTTTTATGAATGTAGTATTGTTCTTTTGTCCGCATTCTCTCCCAAAAGAAGTGGGAGGATGTTTGAATTCATAGTCTAATTTTTCCCCAAGAATTTAAATTGAGCGCTGGTGGTATCAGCATTTTTTCCAGATCTTTCTTTTGTCAGTGAGTAGGTAAATGTATGTATGCGAGAGAGCATCAAGAAAGAGTAAAGGTTTTGTCTAGTATTTAATTAAATTGAAATAATTAAATAAATTGATTTGTTATTGCTCGATGTGAGTAAAATTAAAGTTTGAGTTTTTATACAAATTTTCATTTACACCACAGTAGTAGTATTTTTAAGCAACGACCCAATCTTTTTAAGAAGTAGAACCTTTCAAGCTGGTAGTTCGTTTGGTTTTACAACACACCTGGATGATATACAAACAGGAAATAAGATTTATGGATTATTTTAGCATGCATTCCCTAACTGATTTCAAAATTCTGTTAAAAAACATAGTTCAGTGGATGTAATCTACTTTTATGAATTCTGGAGGGGCTGGATTTTGGTGAGGGTGGAATTATCAATGTCGAGCCAATCTATCTGTTTGTCTAGAAGCTATACACAATTCCGAAATTAATAATTACGGCATGTAAGTAAAGGACACAATCCCGGCTTATGTAGAAGAATGTCAAAATATTTTAAATCATCTCTCCTCATCCCATGCCGATGTTTTCACCATTTTCTTTGTTAAATAAAGTGTTTTCCGCTATAAAATCATTGAAAAGACTTACTCCAAGCAACTTTGCGGGGCCTTTTAAGATGGCATTAATGCCATCTTGGTAGTTAATGGCAACACATTTGGGTGGAAATGACCCCCACCGGCCAACTACTTGACCGATTATGCCCATCTCCGAACTCATCCTTACTTTTTACCCGAAGATAAAGCATGCAATATTTCAACTCGATAGCTTTGGTTTAAAGAGAGTTATCGTGCGCACAGACGGACGCACAGACGGACGGACAGACAGACATCTGGGTAAATCTATAAGGCCATCTTAAAAGGCCTAAAAACGAATCTACAACTTAATTCTAAATCAAAATAGTCAAAGGAACAGTAATTTTTGGGAAAGCTAAGGCTATTAATAAAATCTGTAACTGATTTTGACATTTTGTATATATAGTAACATAATTTTCCTTCATTAAATTTGCAAAAATTATAGAAACATTTACATAGAAATTAAAGAATAATATTAAAAATTTAAGAAGAGTATAAATTTTATGTGTCGTAAATGACAAAATCCAGACCTAATTTTTCATCGAAATATTTGTAAAAGTTTGTAAGTTTGGCTCACTAATTTCCAAATTCTAATAAAAAACCATCATATTTTAGTGGCTGGAATCTAATTTTACGAATTCTGGTTCCATGGTTCGAAAATCTTTTGATTTTTTGGGCTATCTAAAATTCCCGAAATTAATAATTACGGCGTGTAAAGGACACACGCAATCCTGACTTTTAAGTAAGTAGAAAGGTGCAAAAATATTTTAAGTCTCCTCACCCCGTTATATCGACAGAACGGATATGGTTCAATCAAATCGATAAGAAAAATGTGAGTACGACACCCTAAATTTATTGAAATATAAAATTAAATGCAGTCAAATAATACAATAATGACACGTTATGAGAACTATAGTGTCAAAGAATCTTGACAACACACCTATCATTTAGAAAGCTATGGAGAATTTTAGAAATTAATTATTGTATCATGTAAATCACTCAATTTTTTTAAATCATATATTTTGTTGTAAATACTGTAAAAAATCGCTCAAAAACATTCATATTCAAACTTTTAAAATCATATTTTTTTATAAATCTTGTTTAAAAATCACTAAAAACATTAATTCCGAGAAGATTAAGTAAGTAATCAAGTTTTTATGTCCAGAATCAGTTCTAGAACATAATTTCGCTGTATTTATTAAGTAAAAATACCACTTTTTCGATATTTGTACAGCACCTGCGAAATAACCAGGCCACCTGTCATTTCAAAAATTATAAATATTTTTAAGATTAATATTTGCGTCGTCTAAGTAAAGCAATTAAAAAATATAAAAATCTAAATTACAATTTTATGACAAATAAGGTATAAAAATCACTCAAAAATTTGAATTCAAAGAAAATTCATTCGGATATAGATACTGAATAGTGCATAATATTAAATAAAATCCCAATTTTTAGAATAACTAAATTATGGTTTAAAAATCGGTCATAAATTTGTCCTGATTTTGTAAATAAAATTGTGAAAGTTTAATTGGGAAATTTTAAAAGAATTAATTGCAACCATCCTTCAAACATAACTTCTGATGATAAAAAATTGCAGAATCTTGACACAATTCACGCCAATATTTGTAATCGAGTAAGCTTGAACAAAAAGTAATTTGATTCAAAGAATAATCTGTAATCAATTAATTTGCCCCATAATTTTATAAATTTTAGTAAAACGGCGGTTAAACGTGACAATTTTTCATGACATTCACGCCAGTTTGGTAAATTTATTGGAAAATACAAACATACAATTCACACGGATATTTTTACCCGAGTAAACCTAATTAAATTTGTTAATTTGAACAGAAATTAATTTTTAAGTACAATTAGTTAATCACAAATCTATAGTCACTTAATTGACCCCATAATCTAATAAATTTTATTAAAACAGCGGTTAAACTTGGAATTTTTAATTGAATTCATGGCAGATTGTAAACTTATTCCAGAATAATTTAGGCAGTGAAGTAATTCACATGGATATTTTAACCGAGTAAATTTAATAAAATTTTTGTTATATAGATAACCCGTAAAGAAATTAGCTTGTAAAATGGATAACATCAAATTTGGAATAAATTAATTTGTCCCACAATTTAGTAAATATTACTCAAACGGCGGTTAAACGTGGTAATTTTTCATGAAAGCTTGGTAAATTTATTGCAGAATAATTTAGACAATGAAGAAATTCACGTGCATATTTGTAACCGAGTTAACTTAATAAAATTTATTATATAACTTGTAGAGAATTTAATTTGTAAGGAATTAAAAACATCTGGATAACATCAAATCTATAATTAATTAATTGGTCCCAAAATTTAATAAATTTTAGTAAAACCGTGGTTAAACGTGGGGTTAAGCGTGGCTATTTTTCATGAAATTCATGCTTGATATATTATAACAGAATAATTCAGACAATTAATTCATATTTTTAAACGAATAAACTTTAATAAAATATGTTAATTTGAACAGAAAGTAATTTTTGAAGTAGTCAATTTCAGGTATTTAAAGCTATATGAAATGAATTATTTATTAAAATTTAAACGTAGCAATTATTTGTGGAACTCAAACCAAGATTTAAACTAAAGCTTGCAAAAATTTTTGCAAGGTTCACTCAATTCTGCAACTGACACATTTGTATCGTAGGTTGTGCACTTCCTTTGTAAAATTTCCAAAATTATTGGAACAGTGACAAATCACAGAATAATATTACAAAGTTTACGAAGATGCCAAGTTTAATGTGTCATGAATCGGTATGTTTATGTTACTCGAAATGATTTTGGATGTAACAATTTTAAAACCATTTTATTTTCTAAGAATTAAAGTTTTTGTGATCTAAGGGTATGTTTAACGCCATAACAAATTTTCGAAATTAATAATTGCGTCGTGTAAAGCACGCAATAATTTTTAAAACGTCATATATTTTGTTGTACAAATACGGTATTATAAAATCACTTAAAAAACCTTTAATTCAGAGAAAATCATATGATTTTAAAATTTTTATTTCCAAAACCAGTTCGAGTAGCACACATAATTTAGCTGCCATTTTTATATTTGTATGAATTATCGCAGAATTAAGGAGTAAAATATACTTGAAAATGCTCTAAAGAATGTTACAAATTAAAACAATCATATATTTTGGCACCAATATCGTGAAACAAGAATTACTCAAAATTTTCAATTAAGAGAAAAACATATTTTTTAAATTTTTGTGTCGAAACTCAATTCCGAGTAGTTAAATGCGCAATGTTAAATCCGTATTTTTAAAGCACAAATTAAATCAAAGTAGAGGGACCAGCCTTTCTATCATTTTAACGTTGTAAGGAATTTTAGAAATTAATAATTGGGTCTTTTAAAGCAAATATATGTTTTTTAATTATATGTTTTATGACAAATATTGTACAAAAATCAATCAAAAATTTAAATTTAAAAAAATCAATTCGAATAACGTAACTGTATAATATTAAACAAAATCCTCATTTTTAGATAATTGTAAATCAGGGAATTATATTAAGTACCTTGTATGGTACTCGAACTGATTTTGGACATTAAAATTTTAAAATCATTTGATTTTCTCGGAACTAAAGTTTGTTTAGTGATTTTATAAAATATCTAAGTTTTTAATTTTTTGAGTGATTTGCACGGCACAATTATCAATTTCTAAAATGTTTTATAACTTTTTTTTAACAATAGATTGGCTGTGCGTTAACGACAAAATTATTAGTTTTGGAACCATGAGTATATTATTTTTGAAGCTATAAATAATTTTAGAAATTAATACTTGTTGCGTCATGTAAAGACGCAATCAATTTAATCAATTCATCAATTTAAAATTGCAATAGATTTAAAAGCCATATATTCTGGTATAAATCAAAATCACAAAAAAAAACTTTAATTCATAGAAAATCAATTGAGGTTAACATTTTTTATTTCCAAAATTAATTCGAATAACTTAATTTCCTACAATTAAAACCCCATCTTTTCGTCAAAGTATGAAGTATGAAATACTATGAAATTGCTAAAGTTACATTGTAAAAAAACACAGGCAATTCATGCAGTCATTGGTAACTTTCTGTAATTTGTGCAAATAATTTTACAAACTTTTACACAATAAAAAGACGCTCTTTATCTGACTGTTTACAAAAATTTGTAAACTAATTTTCCTCGCAAATGTTTGTAGAATAATATTTTGCAAAAGTTTACAGAATTTACGAATTTTAAAATGTTATCATGGACTGTGTGATGCCTCAACTCAATAATTATAATTACGCTGGGGTTAAAAATTTAAGAATTACAAAAAATTAGAAGAACAAAATCCTGATAAAAATCGGCGATAAATAAAATTGTAAAAGTTATTCAGTTTACAAACATCCACGTGAAGCAGCAATCTATTTCTCTGAATGCCCCCAAGCAAAACCCGGCATTGGAACCCAACACATTGTCAACCAAACTCATGTTTCATTAAATTTGTTGTCTGTTCTAAAATTAATTATTTTGTATTTCTTTGACAATTCTTGGACTTATCATCATTCGGTAAGTGTACTTATCCCCTCAAACTGTAAGATTGGGACAATTTCTATTAAAAAATTAATCTGTTTAATTTTCGATTCCAAATTTTTAACTTACAATTTCTCCTCATTTAACTTAAAAATTTTAAGTTAAAATTCTAAATTAATCACCTCAGCTTTTTTTAATTGCAGATTAACCATGACCCACAATTCACAAGTCTCCAAGTATCAACCTAAGACGAGCAGGATGATGATGGCGTATAAAAAACTGGACTTTCCCGAGTTTGCGGAGCTTCGCAAAGCTGGAGAATTCCGTCGCCCGGACGTCGTTCCGTTGCTGGCGAGGTATACTTATCACAATTAATTAATTGCTTGCCTAGTTAACTAATTATGATTACTTTTCTCCAGCTCGGCTGACCTTGAGCGCGAGATGGCCGCGTTTTGTCAAAAGAGAGCGGATTCGATTGCGGTGAAGATAGAGAAATACTTGAGAGAGTGTTTTCTCGACAGGAAATTTAACACTCTTTCCGTCGATGAGCTTTTTGTTGCTCTGAAAGAGACGAACGTTCACCCGGAGGCGAGAAAGGTATGATTTTTTTTGGGGGGGGGGGCGTCGTAGTTCGGAAAGCAGGTCAAGTTAACTTGCAAAATTTTGTCGGATTTCTTTTGCTGGAAAATCATAAGATTTTTGTTCACAGATTTTTATTTTGAGGCAATTCACGCAGGCAGGCCTGCAAATTCTGTAAATTTACAAACATGATTTATTTTAAAAATATCTCGAAGGAAAATTAGCTTACAATTTTTCATAAACTTTGTCAGATTAAGGGAGTTTTTTAGTTTGTAAAAGCTTGTAAAATTATTTTACAAAACTTAGACTTTATAAAAGTTACCAGTGGCTGCGTGAATTGCCTCTTTATCTCACAAACTATGAGTTTCATCAATTCGAAATAACTAACTAATTTTATGTCGAATCGAATTGAATAAAATTAAATTCTGCTTCTAATTCATTCAGATTTTGTTGGACGAAAGTCTTCCCAAACGGCATCCTCGGATCAAGATCGACGCCAAGGGTCGCTTATCGTACATTCCGCCATACAAAATTACTGCCCTCACCGACATGGTGGCCATGATTAAAGATATGTCGAGCAGGTTGGAAGGTAAATAATTATTTTTTCAAGATTTTTTTAAATGAATGATTTATTTTTGAAAATTTCGAATTAAAAAATTCCACCTTTTTCAGGTCTATTCGAAGATGACATTCACGATTCCACCAAGCTGAGCGATTCAATCATTCGGGTAAAAAAAGATGGGCACATATTTTCAAAAATGAGAAAAATTAACAAATTTATGCGAAAGTGTGATCAATTTTAATCGAGTTTCTATCTCTAATGTTAAGAAATAGCTAAAATTCCCCAAATTAGAAAATTTCCATCCACAATTTTACATTTCTGTCCCTTTTATTTTTCCAAAATCCCCAAAAACTCACACATCTTTTAGAAAACCTGAATTTTCTACTAATTTTCCCCCATTTTTTCAGGAATTGCACGACTCTGACCAAGTCTTCGCCATAAATCGTTGGGACGGCAAGGTGACATTTTTCCACTCGAACGCCCATCCATCCTCCACCACCAACGATTTGCCCCCATTCAACGTGGAAACGGAACTCGTCAACATTTTCAAATCCATCGACGTCACCCGACTGGATCCCGACATTCATATTGAACGTTATTTGGAACGTGTCGGACTGAAACCACTCAAATCGGAGAGGAAACCGTTTCCCCAACCGAAGAAGAAGGTCGTGGTCAAGGTAGAAATCAAGAAGAAGGCGAAGCCCCTCGTCCTACGACACAATCAACACGTCGAGGCCGGCGTGATGAAGCGTTTCGACGAAAATGGTGTCCAAGACGAGGAGGAGGAAGGTGGCGACGACGATGATGTCGAATATTTGCCACCACCGGAAGTTAAGAAGACGAAGAAATCCGTCTTGAACGAGGAAACACCACCAAAAAAACGTCGTCGTCCGGTATCCGTTAAAGAGGAAAAGTTACCCAAAAAACGTCCGGGTCGTCCCGTTCAGGACGACGATGAATGTCTGCCACAGCCGGAAATCAAGAAGAAGAAGACGCCCGTGAAGGACAAAACTCTGCCCAAAAAACTTCCGGATCGTCCCGTTCAAGACGAAGAGCAAGATCTGCCAGAGCCGGAAATCAAGAAAAAGAAGAAATCCGTGAAGGAGGAAGCTCCAGCCAAAAAACGTTCGGGTCGTCCCGTTCAAGACGAAGAGCAAGATCTGCCAGAGCCGGAAATCAAGAAGAAGAAGAAACCCGTGAAGGAGAAAACTTCGCCCAAAAAACTTCGGGGTCGCCCCGTCCAAGACGAAAAGGAAGAAGATCTGCCACAACCGGAAGTTAAGACGAAGAAATCTGTGAAGGAAAAAACACCACCCAAAAAACAGCGGGGTCGTCCCGCATCCGTGAAGGAGGAGGCTCCGCCCAAAAAAAGTCGGGGTCGTCCCCCATCCCGCAAGAAGTCGAGAGTAGACACTCCAGAAAATGATTAAATTGAATTGTTTTATTTCTTATGAGCATCATCGTTATTAAAAAAATATGAATATAAAATTTGCACTTAAAAAATAAATCTGGCAGAAATAATAATGCACTTTAATTTTGAAGGATCAGAAATTTAGTCAAAGCTAATTAATTGTTTGTTATAAACTTGTTGTGCTATCTAGTTTCAAATAAATTGAGCAAATTGTAAAAAAAACATTATGGAACGTTCGTAGTCGAATTTATTTAAAAGCTTGACGACAAATCTGAGCTCACTTATTGTTAGTAAGTAATTTGGTACCAAACGGTGACAAATAAATTCTACTCTCTACATACATTCGTAAACTTATGTTGCTAAATTTTCTGCAAAAATGGTGATCAGCGCATTATTCTCACAAAAATTGATGGACGTTGGAATTTCCAAATCCTAATTTCCTATCTAACAAGTTTATTTAGGGAAGCTTATTTTTAGTAAAACTTAAAAACGACGTGGAAGCCATGAAAATTTAATTCAGAGTTAAATTTAATTATTAGTTGTGCTCTCTTAAAGAATTTGAAAATGTGATATTTTCACTATTAATTAAATAAATGTGACTAAATTTACATATATTTTTGCATAACATAATTTAAAACCAAATCATATTCGTTATGAATCTATTTTTGTATCTTCTATGTATTTTCTTGCTTGCACCAATGGAGACACAGGCATAAATAAATACAAGTTAAACTCTACCCAATTTCAACCTTAGCTTGTTGGTTGAGTGGTCTGTGTCGGGGATTGTGGGTTTTTGGAAATGATGCTGGGATTCGAACTGGTGACTAACTAATATTTGTTGTTTCTTTACAGAATATATAGTAGAAGTGTGCCTGTGGGGGTATACCTGCTACAGCAGCAAGTTGGTATTTTCGTAGCAGAGTATACCCCTAAAGATGAACAGACACACAAAAATATGCAAAACTACAAATACAAAACCAAACTATAAACAAGTAAGTACAAATATCTAAATAAAAAGTATCCCCGAAACAGACAAACCACAAGCCAATTTTTTGCAGTTTGCATTGCACTTTTTGCATCTTTTTATTTTTGGTAGAAAAATTCAGAACAACATTTTCCCATAATGAACAGATAACAAAGTTGTCAAGGAACCATTTACCAGAAGAAAACTTCGTAAACTCCGTAAAATTTTGGAAATAATTCCAAAGAAAATTTGGAAGCAAATTTTCTTACTCATTGTCAGATCAAAGGCGTCTCTTGATTTTGTAAAAGTTTAAAATTATTTTACAAATTTACGAATTTACCAAAGACTTCGTGAATTCTTTCTATGCAAAGTTTTCTAATAAATATTTACAAAATCTTTTGGAATGAAAATCACGTCACAAATATTAACTCGCACCGATCGCATCAAAGATTCCGTAAAATTATTGCACAAAAGTTACAGTTACAAAAAATATCACAGCTTCGACGCCGCATAGAACATTTTAATAATATTAAACCCTTAAAGTAATTATTGGGATATAACCAGTTAAAAGAAGTAAAAATTATTATTAGCAGATTTTTTTTTTACTTGTATAAATAAATGCACGACATAATGTTCCAACATTTTGCATCCGAAGAGGAGAAAATGATGCGCAGAAAATTTGGAAAGTGTACAGTTTGTCAACTTTATGGCACGTTTTTTTCCTTTATGCAAATATCTCTCCCAAACGTGTGCCCATTGAGAGATCGTGTCTTTTGCAAATGTCAAATTAATGAAATTTGCGATCGATTGACACTAATTTACTCAATATCTGAGAGCAAACGCCGGTAGAACCCAATTTGAGTGGTTAATTTGGTATTAAACTGTGGCAAATAAATTCACATTCGTATAATGATTTCACTAAATTTTATCAAAAAGTGATGACCACGCAAGCATATTAGGCTCTCAAATACTGCCAAACTTTTAAATTATTGTACATATTTTGAAAGTTCCCAATTTTAACAATTTTAAAGAGTTTGACAAGCGAAGCTTATTTTTAGCAAAGGATTAAAAATGGCGTGGAAGTTATGGATATCGTAGCATAAATTTTGTTCGGATTTTGACCATTCTATCAACTATTTGTAGTCCCAGTTAGTTAAGTATCTTATAATATCCAATATATCAAAACAGACTTTTTAAAAATTTTGCAAGTTTTCTGAAATCTTCGAGAAAATTAAAATTAAAAATAAAATTGAGCTTGATACATATGTACATTGCAAAGCAACTATCTGAAACAAGAATGGGGCAAAAATTTCAAAATTCAGGCGAAATAGGATATTTCGTGAAGTTTGAACGAACATTTTTCCACATTTTGGTGGGTGTGACCGACGTAAATTTGCCCAATAAATCGGCCCATATATATTTTACAGTGATAAATCATTAATTAAATGATCATTATTTTAGAAAAGCAACAAATGTTCCCATTAATGTTAACGATTAGGCTAAAAATAACCGAAAGTTACGATTGTCATCTGCAAATTATATAACAAGTTACAGATTTACACAACATAACGGTATAAATTATTGCCAGATTTTTTAAATTGTACAACACATTACAAAATTTTTTCTGCAGAAGTTTGCAAAAACTAGGTGCGAAAATCAGGTTGAAATTTTTACTAAGGGTGCCCCTTATTTTATTAAATTACTATTTCCTAAAAGTACTATTAATTTCCTAAATTACTATTTCCTAAAGTTACGCAGTTTGCGAATTTCATCAACTTCTCGACCATTATTTAAAATAAATTTAATGCAACAATTAATATACTAATCGGGTAAAAATATGCATCAAAAATTTATACTTTGAAAAAAAATCGGGGAGAAATACATAATGCATATTAATTTCGACGGAACGGAATATTCCCTGAAATTTATTAGTGAAAATGAAAACAAATTAATTTTTATAAATTTGTCCTTTCTAGTTTCAAATAAATTGAGCAAAATCTTTTCAAACAAACTTGTAGAACGTTTGTGGTGATTTTTTTTCAAATTCGACCACAAAATTCAGCTAATTTAAAAAAGATCCATTTTTTATATTGTTGTTCTTCTTTCTAGTTTCAAAAAAATTGAGAAAAATCCATAAAAAAATTGTGAAACGTTTATGGTGGATTTTATTTATAAGTTGGACGACAAAACGCTACCGAGCAGAGATCAACGTCGACACGTCGTACGCCGCCGTGCCGTCAGTAGTATTTTACCCAGCGCCGCAGCCGATAAGTCTGCTTTGGCTCCGCCGCCGCATGACGTCCTAGTAGTTAATTAGTTACCCAAAGGTGATTTCACAAAATTTTATGCAAAAATGATGACGACGATTGACCCCTCAAATATTGCTGAATGTTTAATTTATCATACATAACTTGATTATTTCAAAATTCCAAACCTGAGAAATTTGCTAAGAATGAGGCTTATTTTTAGCAAGAATTGAAAATGGCGTGAAAGTTACGCCAAAAAACATGAAGACCTAAAATCAAATGCTCCTCAAAAACACAGTTTTGTTCGTATTTTGAAAATTCTTGCGCAATCGTAGTCCCACAGAGCTATTGTATCACACCCATCATATCAAATTTGACTTTTTAAAAATTTTGCAATATTTCTAAAATCTTTAATCAAAAAAATTAAAATTAAGTTCAGTTTAATGCCTAATATGACAAAGTAGCTATCTGATTATCAGAAGAATTTTCAAACTCAGACGAAAATTGGAATTTTCGTGAAGGTTTGAACGAGTAATAATGTGTTTTTTTCGTGTTTTTGGGATCTTGAAGTGGGTGCGCAATTGCGGAAAATCCCCTCCCCCCAATGGCCTCCCAGTAATAACCTCCGACCAATAGCCTCCTGAGGAAATTGGCCTCCCTTACCAATGGCCTCCCAACCAGTATCCTCCCAACCAATCTCCTCCCAGACCAATCGCCTCCCACCCAATATCCTCCCATGATAAATAAACGCATTGTTTTTTAATACTTAACTTATCTACATCTTAATTGTGTCATCATCACTATTTAGTCATCAGCGAGAGAGCATTACTCATCAATAGAGAGTTGGAGATTTTGTGTACTTTTGCTTGTACTTTACTGTGACTACAGTACAATATAAAAATTTGTACACAAATCAAAAGACCTGGAGAATTTCCACTAGTTTCTACTCTGAAAAATTGTTTTGCAAAATTTCGCGAAATAAATGAGTCAAAAATTGAAACAAATCAACTCATGATATATAACATGAGACTCCCTCCACATTGAGCGTCTAAAAATGATCAAAACTAAAAATTAGATATTTTTGACCTTTGGCGTCGTTGACCAGGCTGATATAAGCCGAAATGATAATGGTTTCTGAACTCCCCGCCTCAAACTAACGGTTGAAATATAAAATTTTTGACCTTTGACCTCGTATGCATGGTCTTCCTTCATACATTAAAACTATGTCGATTTCTGATGTTCTCGCCCAAATCCACGTCTAAAACAGTTGACGCTTAAATTTCGACCTTTGACCTCATCCTCTCGGTCATAGGTTGCTCGGAGGTCAAAAGCACTGACGACGTTGAATTCGTGGTATGCAAACGAGAGTAAAAGTACAGTGTCGTTTGCATGCGTGCAGGTAAAAATGATTAATTTGATTTGATTTAATAAAACCTGTGTTTTAAGTGTTAATAGAAATCAGTTTACAACTTTTCAAAAATTGGTGATGACGCAATTAAGACGTAGATAAGTTAAGTATTAAAAAACAATGCGTTTATTTATCATGGGAGGATATTGGGTGGGAGGCGATTGGTCTGGGAGGAGATTGGTTGGGAGGATATTGGTTGGGAGGCCATTGGTAAGGGAGGGAAATTTCCTCAGGAGGCTATTGGTCGGAGGTTATTACTGGGAGGCTATTGGGGGGAGGCCATCATCCGTAAGCCGGTGGGGGTCATGTTGTCAAACCATTTGGGGGTTTTAGTAATCTCACCACATACTAAAATTAAATATATCAAAATGGCACGAAAATCTGCTGGCGACAAGTTCTTCTTCGTCTCTAGTCCTAACTTAATTAATTCAATAACGATGAATTAAATATATTTAGTTTCATATTTGTAACAATTTGACTTAGGTAACCACAATTAAAAATTAAAACCAAAAGTATAACTAAAACTATTTCTTTGCTATCCAATAAAAGAACATGCATAAGAGTTAAATTTGTCCAATTTTCACTAATAATTAAATATATATTCAT